GATTCTTGATCAGATTTAAGGTGATCTGAGCAGCCAGTGCTCCTAGGCTACCAATGTCTCCCGCTAGAAGTAGTGAATCCTCTACTTCTAGCAAGATAACATCCAAAATTTCTAAAATTTTTCACATACAATATCTAACAATCAAAAATAGCCATTCATACAATAAGACAAAAACTATATGATCAAGGACCAAAAGAAATAACACCCAACAGAAAAAGTTGGTTAATAACCAAGTTTCCTGGGAAATAAGTTCTGAAACTCTAAGATGTATACAGGAAGATTATTGGAGGGTATCCAGGAATGATTCCATGTGGGGATGAAGAAAGTATTACTGGGCAGAGGGAGAAGCTAAATAGCATCCTGTCTGCAATGTGGCCTCGGCATTAGAGCCGGGCAGCCCACAGAGATAAGGAAAGATGGCCAGGCCCTTATACAACACCCACCCCACTGGTCAGTCTATGGATGCTGCCAGGGGGCATGGCTGTGAACAAAGCAGCTTGAGCAGCTGAGGGCAACTCCTTCAGCAGGACCCAGCTGAGAGCTGTCAGCCTCCAGCAATCTCAGAAGCTGCTGGATCTCCTCAAAGATCTAGGCAGTGGACAACAGCATAAATTACAATAACTGCACTTAACATGTTCAATAATCAAAAGACGAAATTAAGAATTTCAGGTGATGACTCTGAGCCTTACAGAGGAAAAGATCACACAACTGGTTATCAGGGCTGTGACTAGTACCTCGGGCTTATAAATTCAAATCCAGCTCTCCTTCAGTACAACCACTGGCTGCATCTGGGTCAAGTCCCTGTAACTTATGTTGTGCTGCCAGCAGTAGGCATAAGAGCCCACCAAAATGTCCACATTCTAATTCTCGGGACCTGTCAATATGTTAACTTATGTGGCAAAGGGACTTTGCAGATGTGATTAAGCAAAGGACTTTGAGATGGGGAAGGTACCCTTAGTTATTTAATCAGATGGGTCTCTGAAATCAGAATACCTTCCTGGTTGTTGTGAGAGTGAGATGTGAGGACAGAAAAGAGCAGAGAGATGCCAGCCATGAGAAGGACTTGGGCAGCCACTGCTGGGTGCAGACAGACAAAGGAATCATGAGCCAAAGAATGTGGGTGGCTTCTAGAAAAGGTAAGGATGCAGATTTTCCCCTAGAGCCTCTGAGAAGTGACCAAGACCTACTAATTCCCTGATTTTAGCCCACAGAGACCATGTTGAGCTCCGGGCCCACAGAACTGAAAAATAATAAAATCATGTTATTTTAAGGTAATAAGTTTGTGGTAATTTGTTATAGCAACAACCAGAAACTAATACTGCCTAATACAGTTCACTGAACATGCCCATTCAGTCCACATTCTCTCTTCCTGTATGCACCTACAAACACGCCTGACAACTCCATCATCTATCACATCTACCTCCTAAATTCTTTCTTGATTTCTTGATTCATTTCTTTCAAAACAGGATAAGAGAAACAGTTTAACAGTTGTTCTGACCATTTTGTCTGTCTCGTTTTGACTTGGTTTCCGCAACTAGAGCAAAACAATTGTGAAAAATTTAAAGATAACAATTTCATGTACTATTCTTAGAAAACACAACCACATTACATATGGTCCCAACCTTCCCAAATGGGTCAGCAGTGCAAAAACATCAACTACTAAGATACATTTCAATAAAACCAAGGGCTGGCAGGTTAGCTCAGATGGCTAGAGCTCAGTGTTATAATGCCAAGGTCAAAAGTACAGATACTCTGGGCCGGCCAGTGGCTCACTCGGTAGAGTGCGGTGCTGATAACACCAAGGCCACGGGTTC